AATGAGCCCCTTGCAATCATCCTTAGGGCTGGGCTGTTCTGATGATAAAAGGGTCTCCTTTTGATAAGGAGACTTCATTGTTAGTGCGATGATTCTAGGCTGTCTTTGCATAACATCATCTTAACTATTGCTTCCACTGTTATTTTTTTAATGATGGAAGCTGAACTCAGGGCTTGATGCATGTTAGATAAATGCTGTACCATTAACGTACACTTACAACTGGGTTTTTTTTCTTTTTCTTAATAGCAAAGACCATTTTGCCCACCATGTATCACCTTTTCAGAGCACCACTAGGTGGCAGTGGTCTGCAACCTGTGGTTTCAAAGAGTACTGACAGACCGACATTAAAATATACTTTCACTCCCAAAACAAACAAACAAACAAACAAACATGGTGTCTCACTGCATAGTTCAGTCTGGTCTTAATCTCACTTTGCGGCCCAGACTGGCCGGAACCCACAGCCAATCCTCTCCCTCAACCTCCTGCATGCTGATATTATAGGTGAGGCCAATATACTGGGCCACCTTTACCTCTAGACAATGGAAAAATAGACCTCATACTTACACAAGAATCACATGGCCTGTGTCCCTTGCTACTCTCTGAACTAAAAGTACACATCTGTGATGTCCATAAACTAGAGCTAAGGTAGCAGATTATAGACCAGTGTTCATGCCTCCATCCCCCCTTTTAAAAAAATTTTTATTTAAGGAGAAAAAGAAAAAAAAAGCAGAAAAAGGGTACAAGTTATACAGAATTTCAGAAAAAATAAACAGTAGGAAATCACTAGTTAATAGGTTACATATTGTCATCTTAGAAATAGTTGTTCAAGTTACAAAGTTAAAGCATATAAAGTGGACTTTCAAACAGTGAGACTACAAACAGTTCTGTTCAATGATCCAGCAAAAACTCAGTAATATGGTTATCTATCTTATACACTTAAATATACATGCAGTTATATCCTTTAGAGCACTTTCTTTTCCTCTCTTTTGTACAATGACAATGTGTAATTACACATTTTGGGTTTTGTTACTCCCACAGTTCTTATTACTTTTTTTTGAAGAGAGTAAAACCAAATGTGACATAACAGAACAGGGTCAGTCAAATCAAAAGGATGGACATAATACATAATGTAAAAACAAAATACTAGGTGATCAACAGTGGTTACCATAATGCCTCTTGCTATCTTAAAAGAATTGCCTATATCATCAGTTATAATGAAATTGAACAAAACAGTAAAGAACAAACCCAATAAAAGCAAAACATTAGAGATATTACGGGTCTTCAAAAGAAGATAATAGTCAACCAGAATGGGCGTCTTATGAATCTTATTGTCTTCACAGTTGTTGCCTATACTTTCGAACTTGGTACTATCAAGCAAAACAGAATAGAGGAAAATCAGTCAAAACAAGATGGTAAGAGCAATACAGGGTTTCAAATCAAGTTAATAGGAAATCAAAGTGGGTTACTATAATATATCCTGCTATTTTTTATTTTTCCCTTAATTAAAAGGATAAAAATAAAAAAGTAAATAATAAAAAAAAGGAGATTGAGATAAAAGATGGCATAACAACAGAACAGCGCAGGTCAAAACATAACCATTTAAGCAAAACAGTGTTTCACCACGAGATAATCCCTACATAAAAGTAGTTACCATAATGTCTCTTTCCTTGAAATCTTTGAATATAACTTCATATACTGTAGCATCAAACATATCAAGACAATGTAAAACCATTCAAGGGGATGACAGTATTACAGGGTATTTAGAATCAACTAACTGAAAATGAACAATGGTTTCTGTATAATCTCCTTGTCTATAAAAGTTTTTGCTTATATTATCACATATAATAAAATCCAGTAAGATACAACATGTTAAGACCGATGGAGACAGAAGCACAAAATCCTGATGGGACTTCAAAACAAGATGATATTAAATCAGCACTAGCTATTATGATGTCTTGTTTTCTCCAAAATAGCTGTTCCTACCATCTAACCTTCTCTGCCTCATTTATGTTGAGCTCTTTTTCTGTCATTAGTTGTCAGTTTGTCTTCTTCATTTCGCTTTCTGCTCCATTCATTGTGGCCTCTCTGTCACTATTTCTGGAATCCTGGTATTTTTCTTTTTTAGAATATCCTGCAGTATTCTCTGTAGAGTTGAACTGCTGGTTGCAAATTCCCCTAGTTCCTCTTTATCCTGGAAGCACCTTGTTTTTCCATCAATTTCTAGTGACAGTTTTGCAGGATATATCAATCTTGGCTGGAGGTTATTATCTTTCAAAGCTTCAATTATTTCCCTCCATGGTCTTCGTGATTTGATGGTTTGTGCCGAGAAGTCTGCTGTAATTCTGATGGGTGTTCCCTTGTAAGTGATCTGTTTCTTGTCTCTGATGAATTTTAATATTCTGTTCTTATATTGGTGTTGGGAGCCGCGGCCGACACCGGTCGCCTTACTTGGCGGACGTAGGGCCTGTGGGTGGGAGCGGAGCCTGAGCTAGATTGCCCCTCCCATCGAGTGAGTCAAGTTGGCGCCTGCTTCCTGCCCCCTGATTGCGCTGGCGACTTAAACAACCCGCTCTGTAAGATAGTCTGCCTAGCAACAGCTGATGTTAGCCAGTCAGCCCGCATCGCGCGCTTTAAACTGATTGGCTACTGTTGCCCTATAAAAGTGAATGCCTCTCCCGCCACGAGAGTAGCACAGAGAAAGCACAGAGAGAGATAGAGAAAGTCCACCGGCGAGAAAGGGCTGGTGGCAGAGTGGAGGCCTCGCGGGGCCCACGCGGAGACAAATAAAGGCAAGGTTGCACACCGCCAGACTTTGTCGTGTGTCTTTCCTGCCGGCCGGGAGCGACCCCGACATATTGGATTTCTGGAATTTTAATTATTATATGTCTGGGTGTTGCTCTGTTTGGGTTGTAGGTGGCTGGAGTCCTGTATGCCTCATATATCTGAGTATCTTTATCTTTTGCTAAATTAGGGAAATTCTCCTGGATTATTTCTGTGAATAGCTTTTGTAGTTCATTTGTTTGTGTCCCTACTTCTTCTTTTATGTTCTTAATTCTTAAGTTATAGATCCTCTTATTGTCTTTTAGCCTTTGTATTATGGCTGTTTGTTTCCTTGTTATTTTTAAGAAGTTTTTCCTTTCATGCTCCTATATTACAAATCTGTCCTCCAGTTCTGATAATCTATCCTTAGTTTCTTTCAAGCTGTTATGCCAGCTTTCAATAGAGTTTTTAGTTTCCTGGTAATCTCTTTGAACCTGCTTCACGTATTCTATGTTTTCTCTATTTTCTCCATCAAACAATTCTCCCTTTTTTTCTGTTCTTCCATTCCACCATCTGTTTTTTCTTGGGCGGTGCTTAGCATTTCTCTAACTATTCTACTTACTTCTTGCTTTATTTCATTAAATACTTCATTTTTGAACTTGTCTATGAGGTTCCGGAGATATTGCTTTATGTCTACTGGTGCTGTGTCTGATATTGCATGTTTCTGTCCTCATTCTCCTTTGCATTTACCTTTCCTGGATCAGTGTTCTCAGGATTGGGGACTGAGGACCCTTTTTTGTTGCTCCTTCTTCCCATACTTTTTGTTCCTTCCATACAAGCGTATATGGGAGGCCCAGTTTCTTTCTTTGTCAGTACAGTTTGTTTGAATTGTGCTGGCTAGGTGTTCCCGCCCACTGTGGTGTACTAGGGAGACACAGACCTGTGCAGCCTCTCCTGGGCCCACCCCTCCAGGTCAACCTACTAAAGGCTTCAACCACTAGGGTGCACCGCCAGGTGCTGGGACCTAGTTTGGGCTAGCCTAGTGGGTCTTAGTCTGCGGCATCACCCAGGCCAAGCTCTCCCCCCCAATCCCACTTGAGAGGGGAATATGTGACTAAAGTCACTGCAGTGTCCTATTCCGGCTAGTCTGCTCAGTCCCAGAATGTCCTCTTTTGGAGCCTCCTAGTCTATGGAAGGGTCTCCGTTCATCTCACTCACTGGAAGTCAATGCAAGGCTCCCTGCCAGTCCCGCTCTCAACTCTGTTCACTGATGCCCGCTCTCAGAGCTTTAATGTCTCTGTCCCTGCTGTGCCAATTCAGACACAGCGGTGGCAGCAGGAAATTCAAATCATGGCTTCCAGAGGTGTGGGTTCCAGCTTCAGCGCTGAGATTCTATCCGTTCCAGTTATAGCACGGGGATTGCATTTCCAGTTGGTTTCTTTCAGCTTAGTTCATTCCTGGGTCAGCAGGGTACATCTCCCCCTGCTTAGGACTCCTCACACCGCACCATTCCTGGATTCTAAGCTGGGTATCTCAGAGAGCCTCCGTAGCTGCTGCTGTCTGTCTGCCATGGTCTCCCGAAGTCTGCCTCCACCCTTTTCCCCACGCTGCCCCTCTCCCTTTCTTTCCTCCCACAGAAGCTCATTGAGTGCTGACCAGGTGCTGGCTGTGTAAGTCGCTGGAAATCCAGCAGAGAGCAAAGCGACACCAGTGTCTCCACAGTTCTGATGGGAGCCCCTTACTGACGAATGAAGTTGGGTCCACTTTTTTCTTGTAAGAAACCGTACTGCAAAGAACATCTTAAGCTTGTGTTTGTGCTTGAATTTCCTGAGGGCAGTGGCTCTCCAAATGTGGTCTCAACCATGAGACTAAACTGTTTTCATTGTTTATTGTTTGCCTTTCTTCACACTCACACTCTCACACACACATTGTGGAGCTTTCCACTGCATGATCTGTGATACTGTAACAGACTGACAGTAAAAACAGACGTAATAGTCTAAATGTTTATATTGAGCTACACAGGAAAGAAACGTGCAAAACCATAACAGACACAGTGGTATTCTTCACCCTAATTTTTCTAGTAAAAATTACTTATATTAACATGCAACAAGTTTATTGATTTTTAAATGTATTAAATGTTTTTAAACTGCCTTGTTTAAATGTTTAACAAGCCACTTATCAGTAGATATCTTCTGCATCAACAAAATATCTTTTCTGTACTAAATCTTTTTTCCCCCTTATATCAGTTAAATAATGAGCCAACAGCATAACAAGATTTGAGCAAGGACCATCTTATGGAGTGATGTGAAAGCCCAATTAGCATGCTTATGAATAACAAGAACCTTTTTTCAGTCATTTTAAGAGTGCAATGACGGGGCTGGAGATTTAGCTCAGCGGCATAATCGCCTGCCTTGCAAGCAGGTAGTCGTGAGTTCCATCCCTGGTACTGATAAAAACGAAAAAGACAATAAATAAATAAATAAATAAATAAATAAACAAAATAAAATAAAAGTTGATGGTGCTGAGGACTGAACCCAGGGCTTTGTGCATGCAAACCACTCCTTTACCACTGAACTACAGCCCACCCCTCGTATTTATTTTTAATGTACTCAGGAGGTTTTTCGGCTCACTGAGAATAGCTTTGTAGAGTGTCAAGATAAAATATATCAGAAAATTTATTTTTGTTTGATGGCTTGAGAGGTAGAAGTGTACTAGTTATGCAAATAAGTTTTTTAAAAAAACACATCAGGGGAATTCCGTTATTTTTAAAAATACTTTCTATAACTTTTGTTAAAACCATGTTCTACTAAGACCTGATTTGTAAAAAATATATACTGAGACATCTAATGTTTAAAAATTCAAAGGCTATTAATTTGTAGATAGATCTCTTCATAGCGAAATATAAGCAATTTAGGGTTGTTTTTTGATTGTAGAATACTTAACTTGTTTTGAATGTAGCTTATCTAAAGTTTTAATGGTCTTAAATTTTGGCAAGGAAATATGTGATAAGCATGGAAGATAAGCGTAGGGGGCCAACACGCAACAGTGCTAATAGGCCGTTTCTTACAGTGATTTTTCACATAGTGCCTTGTTCGCTCTGCTCCTGTAAAATGAAATGTGACCACTTTCATCCATTCGAATAGCAAATTTTCACTTATTTATGAGGGCTCTTTGGCAAAAACCAAATTCACCAAGTGTGAGTTTCAGTGAGATTTTAATCTGTCCCTTAGCCAAAGCAGAACACACACACGTTTGTCCAGGAGAAGCAGATGGGATAGACATAAAGTGAACACACCCCAGTCCAGAAGGCTGGTCTACAGCAGTAATAGCACTATAGATGTGGCATACAATGCATCACAGGTCCAAGAAGCTGTGCTTAGATTATGCAGTCATTCACAGAGCTAAACAAGAGAGCTCTGCTCACAGCAAGATCATCCCTGTGTGCATTCATTTGTGCTAATAACCAGACTGCTACTGGGTTCTAAAGTTGTTGATCCAGGTATGAATATGTCTGAACATGGAATTCTATATGGAAGGCTCTTTGAAGGAAAGATAAATAAAAATAAGCCTTTTGGATTACTGACTTTAAAAACTTAGAAACTTCTCATTCAATCACATGTTGAGTTCCCTTACCTGAATACTTGGAAATAGGAGTATTTTGGATTTTTTTTTTTCAGATTTTGGAATATTTACATACACATATTGAAATATCCTGGGGATGGGCACCAAGTCTAAACATGAACTTTGAGCCAAGGATTTAGCTCAGTGGCTTAAGAGCCTGCCTGGCAAGCATGAGGTTGTGAGTTCAGTTCCTGGCATACACACACACACACACACACACACACACACACACAAAGAAATAAACAAACTTCATTTGTCTTTAATTTAAACCTTATACACATATGAAATATGAAAGTAATTTTTTATTTATTTTTATTTTTTATTTAGATAAAGCAAAACAGAAAAAGAATTTCAAAATATAACACTAAGAAATCACTAGTTGATAAATTATATAATGTCATCTTGGAAATAGTTGTTCAAGTTGCAAAATCAAAGCGTAAAAAGTGGATAGACAATCAAACTCTGACAGCGCAAACCATTCTGTTCAATGATTCAGCAAAAACATGGTAATATGGTCATCTATACGCACTTAAACATACATACAGTTATATCCTTTAGAGCACTTTCCTTCCCTTTCATTTTTACAATATCTATTCTACATTTTGGATCTTATTACTCCCTCAGTTTTTATTATTTTTTACACTAGAGAGACAGTGTGATATTTACAAATATGACTCATTGATATGAAGTGATTTTATACAATATTTTTAGTGTACGTGTTTTGACTGTGACCCATTCAAATGGGTGATCTGAGGGGGAGAGACTGAGGGAGGGTAGCTTACCATGCACTGATTTGACAACTATTTTTAAAGCATTTGTCCCGTACACTCAGCTAAATTTGAATAGGGAGGGTTAACATGCATGTTATTCTTAACATAGGACACTTTTGAGGTGAAAAGAAGTGCTATTAATAATGATACCAAGACATCAAACGAAAGCCACAATTGGACAAAGCTGAATGCAGTTACCCGATGACTAATACGTAGCCCTAACTCTTAGGAATCCCATTCTCTAATGGGAATGAGAGAGTGTAGCCAACAAGACGCTGATCACTATGCATCCTAGCAGCAAGAGAAACGGCAAGGAAGGGCGCCCTTGAGCTCGAGAGAAAAGATCGCTTAGGAGAATGATGGACTGGCTGGGTGTGAGGGGAAGAGTTTCAGTTCATTCATGCAAGAGGAGGGAGATGTGAGCGCTGATGTGATGCCTTGGGGAAGCTGCAGGTGGCTTCCTGTGGTTAGGGTATGGTGGGAGAAAGCAGATGCTAAGCTAAGCCAGGGCGCAGGTTAGCAGGTTATCAGGTTAGCAGGCCCTGCATGGTGTGCTAAGGAGTTCGTATTCTGGCCTGGTAGGTACAAGGGTCCCCTGGAGGATTTTAAAGAAAGATCATGATATAGTTTATGTTTTAGAAAGTTTTCTTCCGACAAGTGAGGGACTGGAGAAACCAGTGAAGAGTCTTTTTATTCAGTCAGATGAAAGGTGCAAGACCAACGTTAGGCAGTGATGGGGGGACAGGATTTAAGGGCAGAACTGAGAGCATTTGAAGAATATTGGATCATGTAGCCAAAAGATCCGGAAGTTATGCCTATACCAAGAAGAGCTGGGCAGAGCTCAAACGTCACTAGGATCTGGACTCTCTTCTTAGCTCAGTGTCTCCTCTGATTGATTCTAACCTGGAATTTATATCTTCTCTCTTCCAAATCCAGTGGGAAAGAAAGCCCCACCTGTTCCCAAAGCCTCAACTGATCAGTTACTATGACCAAGGGAATTAGAGTCTCCAGTAGGCCAGTGTGGTGTCAAATTCTCTCCCTCTGCATTGGGAACGAGGCACTACACAAACTGCACAGATTCAATGGAGAATCTGAGGTTTTGGAGAACAGTTATCTACAGGGAGGCAGAGCTAGGGTGACCCTCTGTCCCCGGACCCTGCTCTAGCCAGTATGCTTTGGAAGCTCTGGAGAGAGACACAGAACGAGGTTAGAAAAGATAATACCTTAGTCAGGAGGAGTCTTATCCTCCTTTTTCCTTCAATTTCTGAAGATAAAAAACAAAGAATCCCCACCTCTCCACACGAGGAGAGAAGCACTAACGTGACAGAGTTGCCTCTAAGACACTTGCTATGAATACAGAGTTATTTTTACCTCAAAAGGGCCAACAGGCTGCAGCCCCTACCAGTGACCCATGAAAGGTTGCTCTTCTATTTTCTTTTCCCAGAAATAGTTTGGCAAGTGGGAGCTGCCTGCATGGAGGGTAATATCAGGCCCATTTTATCTTCAGCCTAAAAATGCAGGTGCTGGCTTCATCTCATCTTTAGATATATTTCAAGGCAAATTGCCGATATCAGTACTCTTCTTCCTAAATACTGCAGTGTCCATATCACTACCCAGATTTTGGTATTTGTTCCCATTTTTTCTCTGTTGAAGTAGAACTTACATAGATTGAAATGCAAAACTTCATTTGTCAGAAAAAGGTCCAGATGGGCTGCCCATCTCTTGGGAGACCACCTGAGTTCTAGAAATGTCTGGGCACATAATAAGTTGATTGTTCTCTGTTGGAAAGAATATATTTTATGACTCAGTGGGTGAAAATGAAGACCTGACACAGACTGGATTTTGTCATTGAAAACAGAAATCAAAAGTAGGAAAGTATGTTAACTACTGCACAGATATGTGTGAGATTTCTGCAGCCAGTGGTTAGACAAACTTGAGAGAAATGACTTCAGTAACTGGTGCGTTAGGCTTCTGCCCTTTATTTGGGCGAAACAGCTGTACGTTTTGATGAGTGCAACGCTCAGCCGCTAGTTTATCACACTGACAAGACGGTGATTCACGCTGCTTCAGAATTACCAGACTTTCTGCGACTGTACTGTGACTTTCCAGGAAGCTGGGAAATTGGTCTTTATTTCCAAGCTGGGATAAAGTTACTCTCTTGGATTTTAGGAATTCTCCAGATCCCTGCTGCTTGTGCTCCTGTTTCTCAAAACCATCAGCATCATTATCAAGCTGTTTTATGAAAAAAAATAATCTAAAGTACATTATTCCTAGAAAAAAGCAAATTAATGTAAGTCTAGGTGTTTCAATTGCTTTTTATGTGTTGTATTTATCTTTCAATCTTTCTTTTTTTAAGAGTTCCCTCTTCCTAGGCTTAATTTCCTTCTTTTTTTTTTTTTTGTACTGGGGATTGAACTGACAGCCTCACACTTACCGGGCAGGACTTGTGCTGCTGAGTTATACTCCTGCCCCATCCCAGGCTTAATTTCTAAATTTGCTGTTATTGGCAGGGTTTCCCAGACTCAGCGCCACTGATTCTGCCTGTTGAATAACTGCTGTGGGAAGCGTCCTGTACGTTACATTACGTTTAGCAATATTGTGATCATCACTGGATAGGCACTGGTAGCATCTCCTAGTTATGACATTTAAAAAATTTCCAGACATTTCCAGCTGCCCCCTGGTATCTTCCTCCCCTTACGTTTGAGAACCACTGTTCTATGGCATGAAAGTATCTTCTAGGCGGATAATGGTGTCTATGAATTTTTCTGAGTTTCCTTTCTGTTTCCAAAGTATTTTCTGTACTGGCAAAACCTTCATAATACTTGAAACTTTTACCCTTGTGTATTTATGACACAACGAATGATCAGTAGTATTAAACAATTATATGTAACACTACATTTTGAAAAAGAGATTAGATTGACCAAATATTTCTTAAAAACTAGACTTATTATTACTATTATTAATTTGTTTATTTTTAAATGACTGCCAAATAAAGATGTAGCAAATTAACCATTGGTTTGGGGGACAAGAAATAGGTTAGCATTTTATGTTCAACAAGAAGCATCCAATGTTTCATTATTTTTAAATTTTCTTTCTTTCTTTTTTTTTTTTTTATGTACTGGGACTCAAACTCAGGACCTCACACTTTCCAGGCAGTCAGTGAGCCACTGAGCTGTATCCCAGCATTTTTAAATTTCTTGATTATAATTTTTTTAACCAAAAGGAAGACATGTTAGAAGATGTATTCAGCTTAGCCTGTTTTCACCCATTTCCTGTATGAACCAACGTGTGTTTGGGAGTAACCCGAATTGCTGCGTATGTCACATGCATGTGAACTATCGAGAGCTTGAAATAGTGGAAAGCTTTCTAGAGGATCATGGGTATTAGAATAAGGTGTTACTTTGGTTAATAGATGTTTTTGAAATAAAAAAAACAATGCAGAACTCTGAAGCGTATATCCACTGAGTTTTGACAAGTGTAGACTGCAGTATTCAGTTAGCATGCATTTCAGAGAACAGCAGAGCAGAGGGAGGGTGAAGAGGTTCTGCCTCCCACCAGCCCTGCCTGTTCAGTGTATGATTACTCTGTACGTTGAGTCCCTGAACAGAGGGAGGACTCAGCCGGCACTGGCCCCCGCTGTTATTGCTGTTACTGTTACTGTTAACGTCCCCATCTGACCCGCAATCCCTGATCTATTTTTTTTTTTTTTTTTGTTGGTCCTGTTGGGGGTTGAACTCACGACCTTGCTCTTGCCAGGCAGGCGCTTATGCTGCTGAGCTAAATCCCCAGCCCCCTTTATCCATTTATATTAGTCAGAACTCTGTAAGAGAAAAAGAGAGAGTGGTGGAATCTAGGCACCATACCTAACCCCAGCTCTCAAACACTTCTGAACTGAAACTGTAACTGAACAAAGAGAAAATAACGAAGAGGGCATCTGTGAAACTGAACCAGCCCAGGGAGATGGCAGGTGCCACCCAGGAGCGCTTCTCTCCTCTTCTTTATGAAGCACCACGTACATGCAGAAAGGTGGGAAGTGTCCAGTTTTAATTTCTCCAGCTGTCCTATAGCTGTGTGCTATTATCTAAATGTTTATATTTCCTGAATTCACATGTTGAAGGCTCTCCCCCAAGGTGACAGTACTACGGATGTGATTCTTCAAATGAAAATTAAATCACGAAGGCTGTGCCCTCAAGATTTTACCCTTTCAAAGAGGCCCCAGTCGAGCTGGGCTGTGATGGCTCACGCCTGTAATCCCAGCACTTGGGAGGCTGAGGCAGGAGGATCATTGTGAGTTTGAGACCAGCCTGGGCTACAAAATGAGTTCAAGGCCAGCCTGAACTGCATAGAGAGATCCCGTCTCAAAAAATGACAAAAAAAAAAAAAAAAAAAAAAAAAAAAGGCCCCAGTAAGCCGCCATGTCCGTGAGGAGGTGCCATCTTTGAAGCAGAGAGAAAGCCTTTACCAGATGCTGAATCCTCTGGCATCTTGATCCTGGATTATCCAGCCTCTAGAATTGAGGACAATGTAGGTTTCTATTGTTTAACCAGTGCTCTGGTCCTGATCTTGACTATCCCTCAAAGACCCATGTGCTAAAGGCTGTCTCCAGGGTGATGTTATTGGGAAGTGTTAGAACCTTTTAGAGTTTGGGGACCAATGAGACCATGGCTCCTTCCACTTCTCCTTTGCTTCCTGACCATGGCGTGAGTGGTTCTGCAATGCCTCTTGATACGATGTACTGCAATACCAGAGGTCCAAAGCAACAAGACCAAACTGATCATAGACTGAAACATCCAAAACTCTGAGCCAAAGCAGCCCTTTTCTCTTTATAAATTGATGACCTCGGATATTTTGTTACAGTGACAGAGAACTGAGTTAAGTTACCGGATCTAAGGTAGTTTGTTAAAGCAGCCCAAATGGGCCAAAACAGAAATTGGAACCAAGAAGAATGGATGTTGCTGTTAATAAGTACTTGAAAACGTGGAAACGAGTAGCAGCTGCAAGAGTTTGGAAGTACATGCTGCAAAAGTCAGTATTTCTGTGAGCTGGCCATGAAGGGTGATTCTGGTTAGCATTCAGAAGAACAGGGGAGCTACAGAGCAAGCCTCGAGCATCTCAGACACCACGAATGGAAGGTTAGCGACCTGTGGATAGAAAAGGACATTCCGTGGACCAGATGGAAATGAGGAGCACGTTATTGGAGACAGGAAGAGGGGTGGCCCCTGCGACTAAGTGCAAACAATTTGGAAGAATTGTGTTTCTGTCAGAGCATTTTGAAGAAGAATTAAGTTAGTGATGATTAAGATATCTAGTGGAATAAATATCTAAGCAAAGCATCAAGGGTGAGACGCGGTGTCTTAGTTACTTTCTTGTCACTGGGACACAGTACCCAACAGTCACAACTTAAAGGAGTTTATTTTGGCTCATGTTGGCCCCTCGTCAGCTGGCTCCAAAGTAGGATGGCATGGCTGAGGGGCACAGTGAAGGCCAAGCTGTCACAGAGAAGGGCAGAGAGCCAAGGGAGGAGTCACAGGAGACAGAGCCTTGCGGGCCGGGCTGCCAGGACCTGCCTCTCCCAGTCATGCCCCACCTGTAACAACGTGCTTAGCTATGAACTCACTGATGGACCAACCTACTGATGAGTGTAGCCAGTCCAAGATGCAATTACCCCTCCAGATGCCCACCTGTGAGCACATCAGGCTTTGGGAGGACATCTATATGTAAACCATAACACATGGCTTCTCTTGACTAGTTGTAAGAACAGATCAGAAATGGAATTTATAATAAAAAAGGAAATAAAGATTTGGAAAATTCTCAGCCTGGCCATATGGTAAATAATGAAAACGTGTTAACACAAAAGTGTGACCAAGTGAACATTTGATAGAGATTAGAACGGATATTTGGAAGCCACACACTACTCATTAAGAAAATAGAAGAAAGACCCTGAATACATTTCAGAGATCTTTGGGGGCGCCCTGCCCATCACAGGCCAGAATGCTGGGCTCTGGGGACAGAAAGGCTTCAAGGCTCTTCTTCTGGCATTCTGGTCCAACATTCCTAGGCTGCTTCAGCTTTTGTTCAGTCTGTCCTAGGAGTAACCGACGAAGCTCATGTTGTCTCTCTAGAAGGCACAAATGGTAAAGCGTGGTGACATCTACACACTGTCACACTGTGCAAACTACACAGGCTGCAGGAGTGTGGCTGCCTGAACTTCACTTTGAAAGGATTCCTCAGACGGCCTCCAGGTCCAGACATCAAGTGAAAGATTACTCTCTAGCCTAAGATTTAATATTTTTTGCCCTGTTGAGTTTTGGATTACTTAGGACCTGTCTATAATTCTTCCCTTCCCTTTCCTCCCTCCCTCCTCGCTCTCTCTCTTCCTCTGTTCCTTTTTCTCTACTTCCTTGCAGCCTAAAGCACCCTGATCCATACACACAATTTATAAAATTTATTATGGGTAATATCCAGTGCATTTCCCAAAAATAATCTTGCTTATTTTTCAAAGACTGGACTGTACTGTTATAAAGAAAACTGAGCATGCCTGTGATCCCAGCTACTCAGCAAGACTGAGGCAGGTGGACAGCAAGTTTGGGACAAGCCTGTGCAATTTAGCAAGACTTTGCCTTAAAAGAAAAAGGACTTGTTCTGTAATTCAGTGGTAGAGTGCTTACCTAGCAGGTGTGAGGTCCTGGGATTGATTCCCAGTTTTATATACACACAGACTTCTCACCCATGCACACACAGATCTACATACAGACACATATACATGCTCATATGCATACTTACACAAACACACGTGCATACACACAAGCCCAGAGTCTTTTGATTGGTGTCCACAGTTTTCAAAACTGTTAAAGTGGCAAATAGGAGTTATTTCAACATAATGATTTTCCATATGCATAGGTATTTCAACATCGCTGTTGTTATTTTTAAGATCAACGTAACTTGGAAAAGAGTCTTATTTTAAGACAGGATCCACTGTTCGGTTTGGACTGACCTCAAACTCCTGCTGGTCTCCCTGGCTCAGTCTCCCTAGTGCTGGAGTCTCTTGGAGAGTTAGGATATTCACAAAAGTCCTGTGAAATCTTTATGTATTTAAAAATATCATCCAAACGGGTAACAAGGTACTTGATAGAGAACATGGCTTCATTACATGTTCCCAGTATAAAGTCTCAAAAAAAGTACAAATGTACAGAGTAGAAAAATTGGGGGTGGTGGTGGTAGTCAGAGTAGTCAAACTGGTAGATTTTTCAATTGATGTTTAATATCCAAGAAATATTTATTGACTGCCTACTATGTGCTAGAGTTTATGCTGGATATTGGGAACATAGCAAAAAGCTAGACAATTTCCAAGCCCCCAAGAGCGTGGGCTCCCAAAGGAGCCCAGATTCCAAAGGAGGCTGAAAAGTAGGTAAGCGATTGTAATGCAAAGGGCGACCTCAGAAGGGTGAGCTGACGGGGAGCTTCTTGGGAGGCGCAATCAACAGGTGCTGGGGAACACTGGAAATAAAAGGTGGGGCTGGGGTAGATAATCAGTTTCTTATGTCATCTGCTGAATTTGAGGGTCCCGTGGGGTGGTCAGATGGAGGTGTCCTGGAAACAAACCAGTCTGGAACTAGAGAGAGGGTTCAACTGGAGTCTCCAATTTGGAAGCCATAAAAATAGAAGGGACCACGGAGCCCCCGGGCCTGGGTGTGATTCCCCCAGGAGTACTTAGAGCGCAGTGAACACAGGACAAGGAAAGCACTCCAAAGAAGATCAGCTCCCAGAGGGGCGGCACAGACGAAAACTACGCAGGGGCTGTTGAGTTCCTTGAACATGCAATTGCTAAATGAACATCCATCTTGAACATGCAATTGCTAAATGACGATGAACTCTAATTTCTCCTGGGGGCACCCTACTTTCCTGTGGCCCTCTGGTTCACCTACTGCAAATGACACCTCTAGGGATAAGCCCGAGGGTAGTTTGTCCTTTGTTATTGTCATCTGCAAACACAGGGAAAAATCTAGGTAAGAACTTGATCCTCTGTGTACTATAAAGCACTGGAGATTGGGGTGTGTGCAGATGGGGAAGGCCAATAAGAACAAAAAGCACTTGTGACCCTGACAAACTCATCAAGTGACAAGTGGCGACTTGTGCACAGGAATGCTCAGCTGTAACTCCACTCAGCCTTTCCATACAGGATGGAGGGGATAGAAGGGACTCAGAATCACGACAGTTTAGCTGGGGATAGGAGCTGGGAGGCGCTGTACAATCAAATACTGTCCCTCGGGGCTCACTAACCAAGTGAACACAAGGGAAGTGCTGAGAAATGAGCCATTTCTCACAGGCGTGGGTGTGGAGCAGAGTGTGGTCCACCCTACGGCAATTTTCACTGAAGAAGCTCGAGGATAGAGCCTTTAGTCTTTGGGGCTGAGCACTGGTGTCTTTCCTCTGGTCACTGAGGCGTCTTCATCAGGATTTAGGATGTATTTACCTTGCAGTGCTTCAGAAAATCACTACAGCTTTCTGTACTGAAGATCAACTTTCTTTTCTCTTTAATACCGGGAATTGAACTGACGACCTCACACTTGTCAGACAGGTGCTGTGCTGCTGAGCTGTACCCCCGGCCCCAACCATTCTTGATGCTTCTAAAATACATTGTGTGAACTCTCTCCATGCCAAAAAGAAGAAATGTTTGTTTTTGAATTATGGTTTTGAGTTTTTCCAAGGATTTCAACATCATCATAGTCATTTTCAGGCTCCATGTTGTTCAAGGTAGAAACAGTTTTCTTATGTGTAGCTTTATTCACCAAAGAGTACGTAGCTGACGTTCCCTGGGGGGCTAGAAGACAAAGAAGTCCTTACTTGCAAGGTTATCGTGTGTTGCTTCCATTTTTGATCAAGTGATTTGGTGCAATATTTATAGATTTTGATGATTGTTTTACTTCCTGGCGGGCCAGATCCCCATTTAGAGGAAAGTCAGACAGAGACACAGTCTCAGTAGCAGCTAAAGGAATGGCATGAGTGACAAATATTAGTGAGATATATTGACTCCCTGTTGTCTGTCTCAGCCTGCACTGCAGGGGACCCATGAAGGAAATGCTTGGGAAAGAAGCAGACCAGAGTGCCTCAGCCTTCCAGAGTGCTGGGATTGTAGGTGGGCACCACTATGCCCATTTGCTGGCCTCTTTTAAACAGAATGCTGTGTCTACGAGTCTCAATGTGATTGGCTAAAGGTCTGTGTCACTCTAAAATCCAGATATTTGCAAAAAGGAAGGGAACCACACGATGAGGAGGGGAGGTGGAGAAAGAGATTTAAAAAAAATTAAGATGTGTTGTGTACATGTACCATGATGAGTGCAGTCATTACATCCTGCAAACAAATACAATAAAAAAGTTTAAAACATTATAAAAAAAATTCACACATTTAAATCTTAACTCCAGTTTGGCCATATTTTGTTACAAGCGTAGATGTCAGGGATCACAAATTCACAATGGCTGATTTTGCATATTTCCCTAAGGGCTAAATGGAATTGAGATTATTGGTATCACCTATTTGAGATTTCCCATTAACTCTTTAGGGAAGGGCTATCTTCTCCCGCCCACAAAGACTAAAATTGAAACTGCTAAATTCCAAAAAACGCTCCAGGGCAAGATCCTTACCAGCACAGAATCATCCCCACCCTTTGGAGTCATCCCAGAATCACACTTGAGTCCCAGGCTCTGAAGCTTTCGCTCACCCTGCCTGTCGCTGGATACACCCAATAAATGGTGGCTGTGTTGGGGTGGCACGCTCTTGGTCCATCTGGAGGCATCTACTTCTCAGTCACTCATCGTGTATTACAAACTTGTTTGTCTTTCATACTGTTCTCTTGCTGTACCCTTGATAGATACAGGCAATCCAGGATCCTGGCCAGATCCCCACGGGTAGGTCCTGATACACCAGGATTAATGAGGATGGTGTCCTTTTAAGAAGAGACATCAGAAAACGGTCTTTCTTTCTTTCTTTCTTTCTTTCTTTCTTTCTTTCTTTCTTTCTTTCTTTTCTTTCTCCCCCAGCTCAAATACACTGAGGAAAGACCACGTGAGGACATTGCAAGATGGGAGCAAGCCAGGAAGAGAGCCCTCACCAGAAATCAAATTGGGCAGCAGCTTCATCTCCGATTTCCAGCCCCCAGAACTGTGAGAAAGTAGTTCCTATTGTTTGAGACACCTAACCTATGATGTTTTTATTACTGTAGCCTGAGCTGGCCAAGGCACCTAGATAAATTTGTTATCCTATCTTGAATGAAATTATTATTGGTAAAATGTACTTACAGGAATCACCTTGAAAAAATGAGCCCCTTGGTGGCAGAGCGGGTAATGGATCTGATGACTGATTAAGAACATTCCTAAAGAGAGAGAGAGGAGAGAGAAAGAGGGAGAGACACAGAGAGAGAGAGAAACAGAAAGAGAGAGTCAGTATCAAGAAAACATCAAGGAAAGCGGATGGGTTGAACATTCATATTTTAGCCCTGCTGATTGGAAGCATTTCCTTTCCTATCTGGATTCTGCATCACATTTGTAACTGCCGCCCTAGAGAAAACATTTGCTCTTGTTCAGGCAATGGCTGAAGCTGAGGGCGGGAAGTTGGGGCATTCTAATTCAGAGCATGGAACACACTCTCTGCATTCTGAGCTGGGTTAGGAGAGGGAGCTGTGAACCAGGTGTATTTTTCAGGTTGCAAAATAGATGTACCCCCAAAGCTTTACATAAACACATGCAAGACAGCAGTTCCTTAGTGGGTCTGTACCTTACTGAACTGTTTATGTATGTTCACCAAAAGACATGTATGAAAACGTCATAGCAGCACAATTCATAAAAGCTCTGCTGTTATGGATGTTGGATGTCCCCCAAAGGGCGATGTGTTAAAGGTCTAGTCCCTGGCGTGGGTGCTGCTAGAAACTTTAGGAGATGAGGCCTGGTGGGGAGTCTTCAGGTCACTGGGAGCACCTTTTCAAAGGGATCAGGGGACTTTGCTCTCCTCCTCTTTCTATTTGTTTCTCTCTGGCCACGAGGTGAGCTGATTTCAAACTATATACTTTGGTCATACTGAGTTGTGACCATAAATGTAATAACTTCTGGGTCCCCTGATTGGTCTAGTGAGTCATGAAGCCTGAGGTTGGCCTTGGAGATCTCCAACACAGGTGGCAATCATAAAGTCCTGAACATATCCCAGAAAAAACAAAAGTAAAGCAAATGCTAATATTTTCATTCAGCACAATAGCTTTCAGAGGACCATACTTTAAAAAACTTAACGGAAACATAGACTGATGCTGGGCTCCGAACACGGAGCTTGACCTGTGACCCCCGTCCAAAGTGAAAAGAGGGTCAGTGGTTTAGCTCAGGGGCACGAGCACCCGCTGGCAAGCATGAGGTCATGAGGTCATGAGTTCAATCCCCAGGCCCCCCCAAAAAAGGGAAAAGAGAGGCTGTGGTGAGCAGAGAGCACCAGATGCTGCCCTGCACCCACAACACCCTGAGACCTTTGTCCCTAAGTGGGCAGGGTTGGCAAATCCAACATCTTGCAGCTCCACAGGAAATGGGGCGTCTCAGCTACAGAGGAGCAATAGTGGAGGGACAGGGTAGAAATGCACTGGTAGTTCTCAAAATTGGGAAGTAGAAAAATTTCCCCCACTTACTCATACATCTTTTCTTCTCCTTGGTTTTGTTTTTTCAAGGACTTGGCAATTTTCAATTTCTTGCCTGGGGGAGAAAACCATATTAATTTAGGAGGAATTAGCAAAAATTGTGGTTGCAGAGTTAAGTCTTCAGAGACTCAGGGCTCCATGACATTTAGAATTAGAATGCCCAAAGGAAGCACACTTAGGAACATAGAGCTCATAGGTGCCAAGCTGGCATCTGAACCCAGGCCATCTGACCACAGTGTGGGCATTAGCTCAGTGAGGGTGGCAACCACGTGGACTGTCGGTCACATGAATGACTAAAGTGAATGAGAGGAAATGAGATAAAGACTTTGAAGAGAAGTATGTAAAATGTGATGTTAGATATAATTGTTGTTATTAATTATAATTTGTTTTTATGGGTGACTCATGATAAAAGAAGATAAATAAGATTTTTTAAGGGCCATACTTTTGTTCGTATCTCAGAATAAAATATTTTAAGAAATCAAATGGATAGAGAGCTATAGGGGCCAAGAATACAACTTTGAATCTAAAAAACTAGTTATATTACGGGATAAAGGGGAAAAGCATGGACTTGGGAGCCCTGCACATCTGAGCTCCAGTCCCAACTCTGCTCCCAACTCCTATGGCAACGCCATTAAGACTGTTTTCCTCTAAACTTTTCTTATTCTTAAAAAAATATTGAGAAGAATGACAAACAGATTTCACTTCTTATGCAGCCGTGGCCTTTTGGTACCAGGTTGAGCAGGATTCCAAGGCTGTGTCCAGATGCCCCGAAGGATAGTGCCCTGGTCACTGAGGGATGCCTGCCCAGAGTGTCCTGAGGGAGATGGCCATGTCTGAGTCTCTCTTCTGTAGCAGGTGGACCCCTGGTATAGGAGGGCTTATTTAAAGGGCAAGGATCTCAAGACAACACACTAGTAAATCACAATTTCATGTTTTTGGAGAGAAACAGCAAATGGGAAATCCACTTGTAGACAGCCTAAAGTTAGTATCAATTTCCAGCTAGTCACTTATTTATGTCCGAGGGTACAAACACCTGTGGTAAGGGTGGGGTAATACCAGAACATTCGGAGTATGGTCTTGAAGAAGGCAATCATATTTCACTCCTCAGGAAAATTGTTTTGAAGAGTAAGGTAATTCTATAAATGTGTATTTTCTTTCAAGCTCCAGAGATAAGATGTTGTCATCTGTAGCCATTAAGAAAGAGAAAGCAGTGACAGATGTTTTGCCCTGAAGTGGATCTGCTTTTGTTCAAACCCTCTGGTTAGAAGCCTCCCTCCATTAAGCACGTGGGGAAAGTGAGGCCCTGGGTCATAGGTTAATGGCAGGGCTAGGATTCAAACCCAGAGTGCGTGACGGGTACCCCAAAGTTCAGTCCATACAGCTCTAGGGCTACTCTTGCCCCAAAGAAGCTCTAATGCATTGACAGCCACCCACCCTACCTCTGCCTGCCAGGTGACATGGCCCTTACCTTGTTTAAATTTCCACCTATAGAGACAGTACAGGATGAAGCTCAGGACCAAGGAGACAGTAATGATGGCCACAGCTAAGATGATCCAGAAGTATTTCCTCCACCAGTTCATTGCAGCGGGATCCTAAGAAGAATGAAAATAGAAAAAAGAGGTATGAATGAAAGCTATGTGGAGTGGCGATAAGGCCTGTTATCTACCGTGTTGTATAGAGATGTGGAAATCTGCTTATGGATCCTGCAGGTTCCAGTTCACAGCCAAACCCTATGATTAGCACTGGGGGCTTCAGGCAGGTCAATAAACTTTCTCTAAGTCTTAGTGTCTCCATGTTTAAGGTAGGAATGATACTGTCTATAACTTCCAGCGGCTGAAGGATTAGAGACTTGCTATGTATCCCTGAGTACTACAGAAATAGCAGACACACTCACTACTGGTTTTTGTATTGGCAAAACATAGCAGCAGTGGAAAAGTACCATTTAAAGCAATAATTGGCTACAATTTTTTTATATCAGGATGACAAGATAGACACAACAGAGAAGAAAATTCTGAGAGCTTTTATTTTGAGGTGGGTGTTAGAAAAATACCTTGATGGATTCTATGGTTTGATATGGATGTCTCCACTGAAATCCATGTTGAGCCTTGGTTCCCAATGTAATGGTGTAGAGCGTTGGGACTTAGAGCTGTCCAGATCCTGATGGCTCTACTCTCGTGAAGGGATTAATTCCAGCTCGTGTTAGTAGCTTCTTTCTTGAAAGATCGCAGCAAGACTTTCTTCTGCCTGGGCCCAGTCCTTTTTCTGCCAAGAGCTGAAGCAGCAGCCGGAGCCCAGCCTCCAGCCTCCAGAACCCAGAGCCAAAATGTGCGGATCGGGGACCCCTCCATAGAGTAGGAGGCTTCAGCAAGGGACATACTAGGACCAGGCAAACTAGCTGGAACAGGATGCTGCAGTAACTTGAGTCGCATATTCCCCTCTCAAGTGGGATTGGTGGAGAGTGCCTGGCCTGTGTGACGCTGCTGACTTAAGACCCAATAGGCTAGCCCAAACCAGGTCCCAGCACCTGGAGGTGCACCCTAGCAATGGAGCCTTCAGTAGGTTGACCTGGAGGGGCAGCAGAGTCTGCCCAGGTCTGTGTCTCCCTAGTACACTGCAGTGGGCGGAAACACCTAGCTGGCGCAATTCAAACAAACTGTAACAGACAAAGAAGGAAACTGGGCCTCCTATATACACTTGTAAGGAAGGAACAAAATATATGGGAAAAGGGAGCAACAAGAGAGGATCCTCGGCCCCCAATCCTGAGAAACATGCAATATCAGACATGGCACCAATAGACATAAAGCAATATCTCCAGAGCCTCATACATGAGTTCAAAAATAAAGTTATTAATGACCTAAAGCAAGATATAAGTAGAATAGTTAGAGAAATGCTAAGCACCACCCAAGAAAAAACAGATGGTGGAATGGAAGAACAGAAAAAAGGGGAGAATTGTTTGATGGAGAAAATAGAGAGAACATAGAATATGTGAAGCAGGTTCAAAGAGATTACCAGTTAACTAAAAACTCTATCAAAAGCTGGCATAACAGCTTGAAAGAAACTAAGGACAGATTATCTGAACTGGAGGGCAGATTTGTAATGTGGGAGCATGAAATGAAAAACTTCTTAAAAATAACAAGAAAAGAAACAGCAATAATACAAAGGCTAGAAGATGATAAGAGGATCTATAACTTAAGAATTAAGAACATAAAGAAGAAGTAGGGACACAAACAAATGGACTACAAAAACTATTCACAGAAATAATCCAAGAGAACTTCCCTAATTTAGCAAATGGTAAAGATACTCAGATGTATGAAGCATACAGGAGCCCAGCCACCTACAACCCAAACAGAGCTGCACCCAGACATATAATAATCAAAATTCCAGAAATCAAATACAGGAACAGAATATTAAAAGCCATCAGAGACAAGAAATAGATCACTTACAAGGAAACACCCATCAGATTTACAGCAGACTTCTCGGCACAAACCATCAAATCACGAAGAGCATGGGGGGAAATAATTCAAGCTTTGAAAGATAATAACCTCCAGCCAAGATTGATATATCCTGCAAAACTGTCCCTAGAAATTGATGGAAAAAAACATGCTTCTAGGATAAAGAGGACTAGGGGAATTTGCAACCACCAGTTCAACTCTACAGAGAATACTGCAGGATATTCTAAAAAAGAAAAATACCAGGATTCCAGAAATAGTGACAGAGAGGCCACAATGAATGGAACAGAAAGCGAAATGAAGAAGACAAACTGACAACTAATGACAGAAAAAGAGCTCAACAGAAACGAGACAAAGAAGATTGGATGGTAGGAACAGCTATTTTGGAGAAAAGACATCACAATAGCTAGTGCTGATTTAGTATCATCTTGTTTTGAAGTCCCATCAAGCTTTTATTTTTCTGTCTCCATTGGTGTTAACATGTTGTATCTTATTGGATTTTATTGTATGTGATAATATAAGCAAAAACTTTTATAGACAAGGAGATTATACAGAAACCATTGTTCATTTTCAGTTAGTTGGTTCTAAATACCCTGTAATAATGTCATTCTCTTGAATGGTTTTACATTGTCTTGGTATGTTTGGTGCTACAGTATACGAAGTTATACTCAAAGATTTCAAGGAAAGAGACACTATGGTAAGTACTTTTATGTCAGGATATCTTGTGGTGAAACACTATTTTGCTTAAATGGTTATGTTTTGACCTGCGCTGTTTTGTTGTTATGCCCTCTTTCATCTCAATCTCCTTTTTTAAATTATTTACTTTTTTATTATCTTTTTAATTAAGGGAAAAATAAAGAAAAATAGCAGGCAGAAAGCTGGTGTTTTGATTTCCTATTAACTTGATTTGATTGTATTGCCCTCACCATCTTGTTTTGATTGATTTTCCCCTATTCTGCTTAGCTTGATAGTACCAAGTTCGAAAGTATAGGCAACAACTGTGAAGACAATAATATTCATTATGATGCCCATTCTGGTTGACTGTTATCTTCTTTTAAAGTCCTGTGATGTCTCCAATGTTTTGGTTTTATTCTTTACTGTTTTGTTCAATTTTATTATAACTGGCAATTCTTAAAATAGCAAGAGGCAGTATGGTAACCATTGTTGATCACCTTATATATTTTTTTTACATTATCTATTATGTCCATCCTTTTGATTTGACCGACTCTGTTCTGTTATGTTACATTTGGTTTTACTCTCTTCAAAAAAAGTAATAAGAACTGTGGGAGTAATAAAACCTAAAATGTGTAATTGTCATTGTACAAAAGAGAGGAAAAGAAAGTGCTCTAAAGTTTATAACTGCATATATGTTTAAGTGTATGAGATAGATAACCATACTACTGAGTTTTGTTGGATCATTGAACAGAACTGTTTGCAGTCTCACTGTTTGAAAGTCCACTTTATATGCTTTAATTTTTTAGCTTGAATGACTGTTTCTAAGATGAGAATATGTAATCTATTAAGTAGTGATTTCTTACTGTTTATTTTTAAAATTTTGTATTACTTGTACCCTTTTTCTGTTTTTTCTTTTTCTCCTTAAATAAAATTTTAAAAAAATAGAATTTCTCCAAAAAGCTGCGGAAGCCTGCACTTTAAAGCTTTAGAATCCCAGGACAGGAGGGTTAAAAGCTGTTGTATTGGAGGACTTAGAAGAAAACAGGGAGGAAAGATAGGCGTTAGGGAACACAGTGTTTTTGTTTTGGCTGTTTGTGTTTTGCTGCAGACCCTCTGTGTTCCTTGATTTTTGAAATACCTGCATTCATTTTGATAAAACTGAAAAGCCAGTCAGTTGGCTGCTGTGTGGCTTTCATGAAAAGCCACTGCTCACGTTTCAGCGTCAAAGAACTTCGACATCACTCTCATCAGGTTTCTGGGAAAGAGAGAGGAAGCAGACAGTTGTCACCAGAAAGTGAAACTTACATCATTTCAGGCCGACTCAGACGGATGATTTTTTCCCCAGTTTTATTTTAGAAATGAAGCGATTTGATTTGCCGTTGGATGTTTCAGGCACATTCAGAACCAACCTGCTAAATGCATTCCCGCCTCATTTCATCCACAGCACACCTGTCCTCAGTCAGGGAGCTGAGGTTACGGGGAACGACCTGCCCACGGCCACTCAGGAGGCCAGAGTGCTTTTCCTCTGCTATACGGCCTGCTCTGTTCATGTGGATAATGACATCCCCAAGCATCGAGAAAAGTCAAACAGGGTTCAGGGAACCTTGCTTTTAGGGGAGCATCACTGTGGTAGTGAAATGATGGGGTGAGGGGCCACAGGAACTTCTCTGAGAGTAATGGTTACAGTCCACAGCAAAGAATAACAGTCCCAAGTTCACTGTGTACAGTGATGTGTGTCTGTAATCTTAGCATTCTAGGAGGCTGAGACAGGAGAATTGCAAGGCTGAGCCCACCCTGGGCAACTTAATGATTTTTTTTCCCTCTATGAATATGTGCTTTAATTCTAAGTTTTATGTCATCATAAATTCAGATGGTAAACACAACTTCCTTCAAATGAGTCACCGTATTTACCTTGTATTCTCTCTTTTTTTTCTTTTTCTGCTTGAAATAAAATGGACTTGGAAAATAATGACTTAGAAAAACTGTCTCAAAAAGTATTTTTAAAAAAGAGCTGGAGATATGGCTCAGTGTGAAGGCTCTGGGTTCAATCCCTAGTAACACTTGCACATGCACGCACACGCATGCATGCACGTGTATGCACATCCCAAATTCCCTCTGCCTTGCTGTCACCCCTGCTCCATGGGCTGCTGAGAGAGGCCCTCTCCACACAAGTGAGGAGACTGTGTCTTTCAGAGAGAGTGAAGTTGAGAGAGAGAGCCCAAGAGAAGCACGTCCCATTCCCAGGTGGGCACCCTCTAGACCACCGAGGTAGTCTGTGGAAGTTGAGTGCTTCCACAGAGGGAAGAGGAGCACCGGGGAGGACAATGGGAGTGCTGGGCATGGCGGTCAGTGATGACCACATGACTGCGCGCAGACCGTAGAAAGGTGTAAAAGCCAAACCCTGCTCTCGCGTGGGCTTGGAGCTGGAGCTCCAGAGGGCGGGACTGCTGAGAGCTACTGAGGCACAGGGCCGAGAAATGCTCGCCTGAGAGGATGCTGAGAATCAGCTGAAGGATGAAACACATCTCTCAGGGGGATCACAGAGACCTCTCAAGGGCCAGGGGTTGACACCTGCATCAGCAAGTTGGTTAGAAGACCTCACACTGCCATCACAAGCCAGATCACCAGCAGTGATGGGAGACTCGGGGAGAAGAGGGGATCAGATGTTGGGAGAGCGGAGAAGCCTCCATCCCTCCTTGGACTCACTCACTGGGACTAAAGGCAGAACTCTGCGCCCAACACAAGGCCGCGGTTTCAGACAGGCATTTAAGAACTAAATTTAAGGGGGACGGGGATACAGCTCAATGATACAGTGCCTGCTGACAAGCGTGATGTCGTGAGTTTGATTCTTGGTCCAAAAAAGGTAGGATGAAAAACTAAATTTAAAATTAAAATGAGTCTGCCTGATAATCAAAAGTAAAACATCTTTAAAACTTGAACTGCAGTGTCTTTGGGGAAGGCCATCCGTGTACCAGTGAGGGGGAGCCAGGCAGCAGAGCTGTCCCAACCAAACAGTGTGCATTTCCTACAGCTGTTCAAGAGATACAACAATGTTTATCATCCAAGTTGGGCAGAATGACACATGTCTGTAGCCCCAGCTACCCAGGAGGCTAAGGCAGGAGGATCATTTGAACCCAGGAGTTTAGTATCAGCCTGAGCAACACAGATAAACTTTATTTCTTTAAAATATACCATCTTATAGTTTTGGGTGTCAGAAGACCTCCATGTAACTCTTACCTATAAAGATAAAATCAAAGTTTTGGAAGCTTGTGTTCCCTCTGGATGTGCCATAGGAGAATCGATTTCCTTGTCTTTTAGGGCTCCTTAGGCTCACCACCTTTCCCCCCAACTTCAAGCCAGCAGTGCTGCATCTCTGATTGTCCCTTTGTAGTCAAGTCTCCCTGATTCTTTTCTACTGTCTCCTTTGCTCACTATGAGGTGTTTGGCTTATTTCACAAATCAAGAATAACTTCCGCATCTGTATTCTGGCTGACTAGTAAACTTGACTTCCTTTTACCATTAAATCTGGCATAGTCACTGATTATGGGGATTAGGAGAAAGGGCTCATGACACAAGTAACTTCATGCTCATATCTCAGTGAGGTAACATTCTTTGGTTAAAATATTCTGTGGGTAAAATATTCCACTGGGTCAAAATATTCTATTTAAACCATTTACTTTTTGTCATTTTAACAATGAAGGTAGGGCAGAGAAAGTGAGTGATAATTCTGCCCTCTATGACCCAAAGTTTACCACATGGTACTGATGGTGCAGACCCAGCCATGGAGCAGTGCAGTCCTGCTGTAAGGCGGACATGGTAGGGTGGTTGAGGAAGATGTCAAATGGGAGAGAAACCCTGTGTTTCCAAGAGGTGGGGGACACAGACAGATCCTCAAGGCGGGAATTAGCTTCAGGGATATAGTGGGGTCCTGGGAGCTGAAGTGGAGCCCCAAGACCTGATGTTCAGCCAGGACTGGCCTAGTTCCTGGACTGGAGATCAGTACAAGTCCCAGGACATGGGAAGGCGGTGAGTCTGCAGATGTAGATGTAGGGATCCCAGGTGCTGGGAGCAGGTCAGAAAGCTGGCAGGTCCTGACCTAATTTCCTACAGATTTGGGAGCCAAGAATTGGGGGACTATCAGAAATTCTTATCCCAAGCCATGTATGGCGGTACACGCCTGTAATCTAGCATTCTTGGAGGCTGGGGCAGGAGACTACAAGTTTGCGTTCAGCCTGGGAATCTCAGTGAGACTCTAATATAAAAAAAAATTAAATAGGGTAGTGGTGGTGCTGGGGTGTTGCTTAGTGTGAAAGTGCTGAGTCCAATTCCCAGTACTTCCGAAAGGGGGCTGATTTTCTACCCTTGCATATTAGAATTACCCAGGGAACTTTAAAAATTGCTTATACACACGCAATATTAAAGATTCTCATGCAATTAATCTCAAGTAGAGCCTGGTCATTGGGTTTCATTTGTTTTAATAAAGCCCTCCAGATAATTCCAGCCTGAGACCAAATGTGTTGCTCTTTTTCATTACAACCTCCTAAGGGAAGGGGTCCAGAGTCAGGGTAGGTTCATCCCTCTCTGGAGCACCAAAACCTCTGGATGCTCAAGTCCCTTACCTGAAATGTAGTATTTGTATATAACCCACACACATCTACCCATATGATGTACTTTAAATAACTTCTTGATTATTTATTATACCCAGCACAATGTAAATACTATGCAAATAGTTGTCACGCTGTGTTCATTAGGGAATAACAACAAGGAAAAAAGTCTGTTCCTACGCAGTACAGACCCATGAATTTTTTCAAATACTTAGTCCTGCGTTGCTTGAATCCTTGGATCTGTTGAATCCTTGGATGTAGAGCTGTAAATATTGAGGGCTGATTGTACTTGTGTTTGAGAGATGAAGAAATAGCATTCAGACAACTTGGGAAATTTGCTAAAGGCAGGACAGGCTAATTGACTTACTGAGATTACAGCTCAGTTCAGTCTGACCCTAGTTTACTCTCCTGCCTGACACAAGGTTGATAAATTCTTTATTTTCATAACAGAACTGAAAGCAGAACCAACATTCAAAAATGTCCTATATGGGCAAGAGTTTAGTTTGTTGTCCTGTCTTCTTCTTCTTGTGCACAGTGAAAACTTGTTGTGCTCAGTCTGAAAATGTACGTTAGGAAACTAACACGCCTTGTGTGCGGACTTTCTATGATTTCTAACTATTGCACATGCCCCAGTTCATGAAATCCTCTCAGCAGTTCTATAAGGTTGTTGTTGTTAATGTTATTAACATTGTTTTACAGCTGAGAAAACAGAGGCTTTAGAAGCTCTGGGTTTATCCAGTTGCACAAAGTTGCGGAGATAATAAGTGAAAAAATTAGAAAACAAACCCATGCCTTACTTAACTTTATATCACTAGAACTGAGCTTCTCAAAACTTACATTTGAATTGCCTGGGAAATGTTTTAAAATGCATTTTAACACAAGGTCTTATGTCCTTGCTCTATTTCCAATTCTGATTTATAAGTCTAATATGGGATTTAAGCATTCTTTTTTTTTGAGCACCAGGAATCGATCTCACAACCTCACACTTGCAAGGTAGGTGCTTATGCCACTGAGCTAAATCCCCAGCCCCAAGCATTCATATTTTTAAGAAGCACACCAGCCTATGCCTGTAATCCCAGCACTCAGGAGGCTGAGGCTGGAGGATCACTGCAAGTTTGATACCAGCTTGGGCTACAAAATGAGCTCAAGGCCAGCCTGAATTGCATAAGGAGACCCCGTCTCCAAAAGACCAAAAAGAAAAGAAAAAACCAAAACAACAGAAAAACAACACACCAGATGGTTTTCAGCCTTAGGGAGGAGCGCTGCGTTTGGCTGCTCTGCAGAACTCCTGGCTGGAATTAATGGACTCTTATTGCCTAGAAGAACCAAGGTGGCAGGGCGGGAGCTGGGTAAAATCAGAGGCAGCAAAAAAGGTTCCCGGAACCCAAACGCCTTCCCTGTGTGCCTGTCGGTGCTGGAAGCCCACCATCGATGAACCAGTCACTTCTCTGCAGGGCAGGCGCTGCTGCTTTCTCCCCCATTTTCCTTCCTGGCCCTTGCCTGAGGGTGTGCAGACCACGGAAGGGAAGCGGATTCACTGGCTCCTTACTCCCTGCCGCACTGGCAGGAGGAGGGACATGTGAGAATCTCGTCCCAGGTCCTCGAGGATAGTTACAGCTGAATGTGACAGGAGTGTCAGAACGCATTTCCT